GATCCTCTTGCCTCAATTTTTCTATTTTTAGTAGAAACAGGTTCTTGCTCTTGCTCAGGCTGGTCTCGAACTCCTGAGCTCAACCAACCCACCTGGCTTGGGCTCCCAGAGTGCTTGGATGACAGGTGTGAGCCACTGCACCTGGCCTTCTTGGTAGTGTTTTCATTTCCTTTTAGATTGAGATGGGAAGACCTTTCCCGTAAAGGGCAAGATAGTAAATATTTTAGGCTTTGCAGGTTCTATAGTCTCTGCTACCACTCAGCTATTGTAGTGTGTAAATTAATGGTTCTGTGTTCCAATAAAACTTTATTTACAGAAACAGGTATTGGGCAATCAATTGACTCTTGTTTTGGATGGATTTGTGTACTTCTGGAATAACTAAGGATGCTAGACGTCCAAACTGAGGGAATGTTGGAGTACTCTTATATCTGCTGTGATTATAACATATTTATATAACATTTAGTATATATGTATTTTTAAGTTTCATATTAATGTGCAAGTAACAATTAAGTTACAATGTTTGCATTTGTTAGGTGCAATCCCCATTGTAGTTGTGTCCCTCACCCAGGAGGTATGCCATGCATCCTTACATTGTGCCCATTAGGTGGGAGCACACCAGTCCCCCTCCCTCTTCCTCTCTCCCCTCCCCCCAACTTTTGTTGTGTTTATAATAATCTCATTTCTTTTCTTTTCCAGAAAAGATTATGTATAATGGAGTTACTACTTTCTAGGGCTGACAACTTCTACATTTTAAAAAGAGTTTATATTTATTTTATTACTTTTTTTTGGCTTGTTTTAGACTTCTGAGAAGGAAATAATCAGTAAAGAGCAAGGTAATGTTAAAGCACAGGGGGCTTCCGATGTCGTTCTTTATAAAATTGACGTCCCTGCCAATAGATACGACCTCTTGTGTCTGGAAGGATTGGTTCGAGGACTTCAGGTCTTCAAAGAAAGGTAAGGAAGGAAATATGTTTGTTAAATACTTTGCTAAGCTGGATTTTTTTTTCCTAGTAATTATCAGCAACCATTATTTAAGTTTCTAGAGAAAAACTTGTTGTGTAGGAATATAGCTTTAGGTCTCCACAGAGGGAAGATTTGAGGATAAGGTTCATGTAGATTTTACCGACCTGAAAATTTATGTGCATATTGAGTCTGTCATTTTGGGAGTGTATGAAAACTGGTGGCTAATGATTTTATGGCTTCTTAAAAAATTCGTTGTGTAATATTCCTTAGTAATATAATTGGAATAGACGGTTTAGTGGATTTGTTAAAGATTGAGAGGAAAAGTACAGATAGCAATACTTTACATGCTTTTGCCTTAAGAATTCTAAGGCAGCTCTAAAGTGGAGCTTTCTAACTGGAAAACTGAAGATCACGAGATCAGGCTGTATGATCTTGAGCAAGTTAATTGGCTGCTTCTGCTTCAATCTTCTAATCTATAAAGATTTTAAAGACCCTTTCCAACTCTTCATGTAATAAATATAGAAGGTAATGAATATATAAAGTGGGACAGAGGTGAAAAAATAACTATTAAAAATAATTATTTTTGGTTTTGATTACTTACATGTTATCTGGTCAATTGCAAAAAAGAGCCTCTGGCTGATGGGCTGCATTCTGAAGCTATGAGGCTTCAGATGAGTGATGGGTGTCGGTGAAATGATGATGATGAGGTGTTTGGTTAAGGATGGTTAAAATTTTGGAGTTGACCCAGTTGGTTTTCTATGTGACAATCAGATGTTTATATTTCAGGATCAAGGATAACTCCTTAGAGTGTGTTTCCAAAAACTGCCTCATCGTAATGTGTATTTCCAATAGACACCTCATTTTGGAAATCCACCTCACATGGAATTAGGAAAGCAACTTAAAATCTTTGCTACTTAAAGTGGACCAGCAACATCTGGGTCACCTGGATGCTCATTAGAAATGCTGAATCTTTGCCTCCACCCAACACCTATTCAGCCAGAATATGTGCCCCATTGTAAGCAGAATGAAGTTGAAGAACCATTGCCTTAAAACAGTAGTTCCCAGCTTCTTTTGATGATACAAATTCTCTGGAGAGGCCTTCAAAGTACACCATTTACCACATCTTTGTTTTGACTTTTTTGATTCAGCAGGTCCAAATGAGAATAGGGAATCTGTATTTTTATTTTATTTTATTTATTTATTTATTTAGAGACAGAGCCTTACTTTCTTGCCCTCGGTAGAGTGCCATGGCGTCATAGCTCACAGCAACTTCCAGCTCTTGGGCTTAGGCGATTCTCTTGCCTCAGCCTCCTGAGTAGCTGGGACTGCAGGTGCCCACCACAACACTTGGCTATTTTTTGTTGCAGTTTGGCCGGGGCTGGGTTTGAACCCGCCACCCTTGGTATAGGGGGCTGGTGCCCTACTCACTGAATCTTTGCCTCCACCCAACACCTATTCAGCCAGAATATATGAGCCACAGGCACCACCCAGAATCTGTATTTTTAATAACCCATTTTTTTTTTTTTAGAAGCTCAGAAGCTCATGATTGGAATTAAATTTAAATGTTGCCTAATCTAGCTCCTCAGCCAGAGGCTCTTAAATGTCCCTTAAACAGTTGCTTAAATAATGGTTTAATAGCCTCTACTGAGACTCCATTGACAGGAAACACATTACGCTGAGGCATTGTATACCATTTTTGGACAATTTAAATGTCGCAAAGCTTTTTTTAAAAATTAAATGATAGCTGTGTACATTAATGCAATCATGGGGTACAGTGTGGTGTTTTCACATACAATTTGAAATATACAAACTTTGTTTTTGTTTTTAAATATTCAGCTAAATTTGACTTGTAACTCAACCCATTGTCCTAATTTTGTTCATTTTGTATATTGCTTATATACAACATAGAGCATAATTAGTTATCAAATGTTTTGCTAATTATGACTAAGTGCATTTTAATATTATTTTAGGATAAAGGCACCAGTATATAAACGGCTAATGCCTAATGGAAAAATCCAGAAATTGATTATCACAGAAGAGGTAATAAGGATATATTCTTATTTCCCTTTTAAAAAATATATTTTGTGTGTATGTGTGTATAGTGGGGAGGGAAAGGAGCAAAGCTGACCCTGCTGCCAAGTGTGATTTTCTTTGATCCTTTGCTAAAATGGGTATATAAGAGTGTCTAGCTCTTAAAAATTGTCAGTTTTTTTTTAAACCAAAAGGGGACAAGGCACCTTATAATAAGTTTGGAAAATATTATAAATATATATTTATATAAATATTATAAATACATATTTAAAGCACATTTGAGATATAATTGTATAAACTGTAGGGGTTTTTTTATTTTTATTTTTTTGACAGAGAGTCTTATTGTTGCCTAGGCTAGAGGGCCATGCTGTCAGCCTAGTTCACAGCAACCTTAAACTCCTAGGTTCACGCGATCGTCCTGCTTTAGCCTCTCAAATAGCTGGAAATACAGGTGCCTACCACAACACCTGGCTAATTTTTCTATTTTTAGTAGAGATGTTCAGGCTGGTCTTAAACTCCTGAGCTTAAGGGATTCTCCCACGTTGGCCTCCAAGGATGCTAAGACTATAGGTGGGAGCCATTATACCTGACCTAAACTGTAGAACATTAATAAAATTTTCAAAGATAAACTTTTTGGAGGATTATTTCAGTAAAAATATGAACTATGAACACATGAAAGATTGTTTTTTCCTCAATTATTTAGATTTTCAGAAATCTTACTAAAATATAAATTGCACGAATACTAGAATATAAATTCCATGTCTCTGGTTTACCACTTAATTTTATTACTTGTTGACCAAATAAATGAATATATACTTGTGTAAATAAAAATTTATAACAGTGTCAAAATGCAGCTGCCTTTCCACAACAGCTGTTAGTACAATGAGAGGCCTGTTTACTGTCCCTAATGATAATTGTGAATTTCAGACAGCAAAACTACGCCCCTTTGCTGTGGCAGCGGTTCTCCGCAATATAAAGTTTACTAAAGATCGATATGACAGCTTCATTGAACTTCAAGAGAAGTTACATCAGAATATTTGCAGGTTTGTATGCCTCTTCTCATCTGCTCTCTCCTTGTGTTCCCCTCTTCCCTTCCTCACCTTCTTCTTCCCTTCTCTTTCCTCTCGGCTCCTTCTCACTTCCACCTTCCTTCCCTTTATCCATCTCTCCTTCCTTTCTTCCCCTGCAGATTTTTTTCAAAGCAGTTCTAAATTAATAGTATGTAATAGGAATAAGAGTTGAACTTTGCTCTATCAGGCAGATCTGTGTTACTGCTTACACGTGGTGTAAATGCATGAAGAAACAGGAGAACTGTTTTGAACGCTGGATAGAGAAGAATTATCTAGAGACTTTTCTGGGGTGGTTCTTTATTTTTGTTTTTGGTTCAAATCAGTAGTGTATTATGCTAGGTAATTCGATAATTTGAAGTATGATCTATCATTTTAAAAATGAAAATAGGCTCGGTGCCTGTAGCTTCCTGGTTAGGGTGCTGGCCACATATAC